AAAGTCGAAGGGCAGCGTGAACCTCGTTTTCTTCCAGCGCAGCCCGGGGCGCCCGGGGCCTGGAGCGGAAGTCCGAGGGGGCCGCACAGCGGAGGTCCGGGCCCCGCGCGCTTCCGTCTCTCACGTGTGGGCTCGCGGCTCCGGAGCGTGGCCGAGCCACGCTTTCTGTAGACAGCAGAGGCCCAGAGCGCGTCGCGGTTCCGAGCTCAGACCCGGAAGGCGGGGTTCAGTGCGAGTCCTCAGAATCCTCAACCAGCCTCTCCGGGGAGCCCCGAGCTTGAAAACGGGATCTTTGTTTCTATGGGCCCAAGTGGAAACTTGCAGAGGAAGGGGATGGAGCTCACTTCGCCCTGGGCGGAAGGGGTGGGAACGCGAGCGAGTCCCCGGTGAAGGGTGAAGGTCCCTGGTTCAGGAAGCCCTCTGCCCAAACCTCCAGCCACTGCTGGGGTGAAGGGTTAGGCCTACCCGAAAGGGAGGGGTGGCTTGTCGAAGTTCTGTAGGGCAGGTGGCCCCCAGGGAAGCCCTGTCTTCAATAGAACAGGTGCTGAGCATCTTCAAGAATGCAACAGAGCCTGGTGCCTTGGCTCAAGCCAGTAATCCCAGCCCTTTGGGAGGCCAAGGCGGGTGGATCTCTTGGGCCCAGGAGTACGAGACCAGGCTGGGCAACATGGTGAAACTCCGTCTCTACAAAAATAATTTTAAAATTAGCCGGGCATAGTGGTGCGCAGCCTGTGGTCCCAGCTACTCCAGAGGCTGAGGTGGGAAGATCGCTTGAACTCTGGAGGTCGAGGCTGCAGTGAGATGGTGCCCCTCGCACTCCAGCCTGGGCAGCAGAGTGAGATCCTGTCTAAAAAAAAAACCTCATACTTTTGTTTCTATTATTCACAGTTAATTGGCGGATTCCCCTTACTGTGACTCTCCAGTCTCCCCTAGGCCTCTGGACATCTCCTGGAAGGCAGTGTTAAGAGCCCAACTCTGGAGATGGACTTTGACTCCACCACCCATTATTATTATTATTATTTTGAGATGGAGTCTCTTGCTCTGTCGCCCAGGCTGGAGTACAGTGGCACGATCTCGGCTCACTGCAACCTCCGCCTCCCAGGTTTAAGCGTTTCTCAGCCTCCGGAATAGCTGGGACTACAGGTGCATGCCACCATGCCTGGCTAATTTTTTGTGTTTTTTAGTAGAGACGGGGTTTCACTGTGTTAGCTAGGATGGTCTTGATCTCCTGAGCTCAAGTGATGCGCCTGCCTCGGCCTCCCAAAGTGCTGAGATTAAAGGCGTGAGCCACCACGCCCAGCCTCCACCACCCATTATTAATAGCTCTGTGACTTGGGGCAAATTACTTAACCTCCCTATGCCACAGTTTCCACTGCTGTAAATTAGGGATGATGATGATAATAGCCACCTCACAATGTTACCTGGAGAATTGATTAAATTAAATAATTCACGTGGAGTTTATCTAGTTTTATCTGTCAGAGCCAAGAACCTTCTTTCTTTTAAAGTAACCTTGGTATCGCCTCTCCGCCACTTTTACTTTGCTTCCTAACTCGTTAAACAGGGGATTGACAGTATGTTTTCTTTGTGTACAGATAGCGTGTTTCTTCAACCTACCTTTTAAGTTCTTGAAGCAGTCACTTTCATTTCTGTGTATACTCAAAGTCACCAACTTAGTGCATTGCACACAGCTTATATTCAATACACGTTTGTTGATTGAGTGATGAAACCTCAAAGATACCTAGGAAGAGATTTTTCTAGAAAATTTGAAGTAATGGAAAAGAAAAACTCTTCATAGGGCAGGATGAGTAGAAGAACACTTGAGATATGAAGTCAACTTTGTTAGTTTAGAACCATAAAAATGTATCATGTAGAATAATCTAAACTATGTGATGAAAACTGCAAAACATAAAACTGGAAATAAACATGACAGATTTTATAGTTGATGTATTAGTGTAGGAGGAGTAGGAGTGATTTTTTCCTCTCCTGTTTCATACTTTTTAGTGCTTTTCAGCTTTTCTATGGTCAATATGTGTTTCTGGGTTGCTCAGGAAAAGTACTTCAATTAACCATATAATTTAGCCAATAAAAATGATCACACTTTGGATATTTAGAGATGTGATGACCTCAGAGGAAAAAAAATCATGAGAACAAAACTGTAGCTTTCCCCTAAGTTTTCCTTCATTTTTTTCCCCCAGAGCAGCCAATCTTTACTGATTTGTGCCAGAAAATCAATTTGTCAGTTCGAAGTGTAGAGATATTTCCTTTTCAGGGACCAGAATATTTGTCTTTCCTATCTAGGGGACTTCCTTTAAAGTGTCAATATTCCAGGCAGGAAATCAAAAGTGTAGAAGGGTCTTCTACTAAATTCAGAGCAAAGGCGAAGTGAGGCAAATTATCTTAATGATTATTTCAACTAGCCTACTGAACTTTCACCTTTTCAGTGATTTTTTTTTTTTCGAGACAGGGTCTTGCTCTATGCAGGCTAGAGTGCAGTGGCACAATTGTAGCTCACTGAAGCTTTTTTTTTTTTTTTGAGTTGGAGTCTTGCTCTGTCTCCCAGCCTGGAGTGCAGTGGCGTGATCTTGGCTCACTGCAACCTCCACCTCTCTGGGTTCAATAGATTCTCCTGCCTCAGCCTCCCCAGTAGCTAGGACTACAGGCTCATGCCACGACGCACGGCTTTTTTTTTTTTTTTTTGTATTTTTGTATTTTTAGTAGAGACAGGGTTTCACTATATTGGCCAGGCTGGTCTTGAACTCATGATCCGCCTGCCTTGGCCTCCCAAAGTGCTGGGATTATAGGTGTGAGGCATTGCGCCTGGCCCAAAACTTTAAACCTCTGGGCCAAACTATCCTCCTCCCTCAGCTTCCCAAGTAGTTGGGATTACAGGCATGCATCACCACACCCAGCTGAAATTTTAAATTTTTGGTAGAGATGGGGTCTTGCCCAGGCTGGTCTTGAACTCCTGGCCTCAAGCAATCCTCCTGCCTTGGCCTCCCAAAGCTCTGGGATTACAGACATGAATCACTGTGCTGGTCTCCTGTAATTTATTTATTTTTCTTTCAAGGCTTTAAGATGTACCAGTGTTCTGCTTGTGCTACTGTAACGTTAAAAATAACCACACACACAACAATTTACAAAGTTATAATCCACTTCAAGATTTACCTTCCACTTTTACTGAAAATTAGGATAACACTTTGATTTATCTGTGCATAGAGTCGTTCATTCAACAAAAATTTACTAAGTACCTACCAAGTGCCAGGCCCTATGCTGATGCTGGAAACAAGAAATAAGACCTGTTCCTTATCTTTCAGAAGCTTAGGGTCTAGTTGATGAACATGCATAGGCAAACAGTGATATGTACAAAATTGTCTCAAGGGCTTTAGTAGATCCAGATAGACAGGCTCACAGTGGCTAATGGGACAAAAAGGAAAAGCCAGTTTTTGTGGGACAGGGAGACAGCAAAGAGAAGGAAGCAGAAAAAAACATAATAGATAACCAGTGATCTGGACTGATTATGAATCTTTAGCTTATAAGGGTATGCTTCATTGATTATTTCCCTCATTGAGAAATGCAATGAGTTTATCACATTTAAATCCTATTCCATCATATTCTAAGAACGGACCAAATTTTTAAAAGATATCAATCATTATATCAAGACTGAAATTTGTAAAATACACATACCCTAAACTTTTTATTTTTACTTAAAGCATATTATTGTACCTTCATTCCTCAATGATTAGATATCTGGCTTAGTTATGTGAATCCTCTGACTGAAATTACTTACTGTTTTCTAGTATTAACCCAGCCCATGATACACTGGGTTTATGGTTTCCAGCCTTTGTTTTTCTATAGAGAGAAGTGAACTTAGACACTTCAAAAACAGTATCAGTGTGGAGCCTTTTAGGCTTTACAATTTCTTTTTCTAATCTTTTCATTTTCTAGCTTATAACTCATTTAACAACATTTTTTGTTTATATTTTAGTAAACTGTCTAGTCTTTTCAAAACATTCAACTTCATTTTCATAATTATGTTTGTTTGTTTCATGGTGGGTTTTTTTCACTCATTTAATTCTTTTTTGTTGTTGTTGTTTAATTTTTAAAAATTTAAACCATCCCATTGGGATCGAGATCTCCGATCTTTCAGATCCCAAAGTTAGAGAAAGTAAGCTCACAGTTTCCCATGAGTCATAGTGAATGATCATATTTCATTCTTTTATGTAAAAGGCATAAAGACGTTTTAGAATAACTCTAAACATACAACTCAACTGATCTGTACTGTTTCATTTTAAAAGTGCTGGTCATGACCCAATAAATTTATTTTAACCTAGTAAATTGGTATGAAGACCTGCGGTTTGAAAAATACTATGTGGAAGGGTAGTCTTCTAGTGTTCAGTGCACACTGGCATCAGTGGCTGTTAGAGAGGGATAGAGAGTGTCTGCTAATGCAGTGAGTTGTTTAGATAGTGTTCCATTAAGAGAGCTTCTGCTGTATTAAAATTCTGTTGGATTAAATTTCTAGGTCAAACACTAGGGTTTGGAAATCTCATTGCACTCAAACTTTGGCTGTTATACTTTGAGTTTTACAGATACTGGGCCTAGGCCTAAAGCTCTCAAGCTTAGAGTCAGTACTAATTGCCTATGAAGTTCATGTTACATATGTAACTGACCATACTGAGCCATTTTATTATAACCTTTTCTAAGGAGAGAACAAGGAGATTGATTGATTAAATGTCCAAGCTAATCTAAGAAAACAGTTTTCCTGGTTTATGACAATGTGTAAGGCTTCTAAGAACCTCCACATAAGTCTTACTTAGCTCTGTTTTCTCTGCAGGGACATGGGACTTGAAAGATATTCGATGGAGCCAGAGAAAGATATGGAAAGCCAGAATATTCATTGATGTTGAAATCAAGATCTTCCCCCTCCTTGGTAGAGGCTCCCAGATACAAAAGATATTGGGAGCTATCCAGCTAGAAAGCATAGTAAAGTCAGGTGAGTGTTTTCCTGGGTTGATAGCTTTATTTACCCTGGTCTGTAGGAATAGCTCTCAGAAATTTACCTTTTCAAAATGCCTGTCATTCAGGAAAGATGGGGCCAGAGAAAGGACAGATTATCTGTTGTAAAATGTCTGGGAATCCCTACCTACAACTCAGGTACCTATATCCCTTTTTAATGAAGGCACACACTATGATTTCTTTCATTTTGAAGATGTCAGCCCTGGACCCTTAGGTCTGATGTGGAGATTGCTGGGAAGCAGGGCTGGTGAGAGTTATGCACTTAGGTATATTTCTTGGCTTCTCTAGCTGTTTTTCTGAATCTTCTAAAGGGGCTCTCCCTCATGCAGTTGTAGAGATGACTCAATAATAACACAGAGAGAAGACAATCAATTCTGCAAACATGGCCTAATGGGAGAGTCATCACAGTTTTGTAGTCCCCAAAACTCATGTTGTCAGTGTGACCAGAATGACCAGTCCCTCGGGCGGATTCATCTAGCCAGACTTGCTGAAGACTCATGAGTGAACAGAATTCCAGTTCATGATGGAGACGTTTATCTCTGATGACCAAAAGACCCCATGATTATTCTCCAGAACTCCCACTGCTAAATCCTGGGTACCTGGGGAATTATGCTAGTCACCAGGAAGTTGTTTAGTGATCTCTAAATCATGAAAGAGAAATGGCTAATGTCATGGGTTCAATTCTGTCCCTTCCAAATTCATATGTTAATGTCCTAACAACTAGTACCTCAGAATGTGACCTTATTTAGAAATAGACTTGTAGCAGATAAAATTACAGTTGACACTTGAACAATGTGGGCATTAGACATGCCAACTTGCATAGTCAAAAATGCATATATAACTTTTATTCCCCAAAAACTTAGCTACAAATAGCCTACTGTTGACCCAAAGCCTTAACAGAATAACAGAAATAGTGGATTAACACATATTTTGTATGTTTTATGAATTATATACAGTGGTCTTACAATAAAGTAAGTTAGAAAATATGTTAAGAAAATCACAAGGAAAACACATTTATAGTACTGTACTGTATTTGTTGATACTGTAAGTTTGCATCCCCTGTCTCCAAGATGAATTGTCTGTCTGAATTGGCAGCAACAGCAACTGCAGACCTCGATCTATACTGCATATCAAGCAATTCGGCTTTTTGCTGTAACCTCATGACTTTTCTCTGCTTCTTGGGATCACTCTTCCTTTTTTTATAATTCGTGTATATTTTATGGCAGTGATAAAATGACTAGTATCTACATATATTTTATACATACACTTGTCACATATTTCCAAAACAAATTTTCCAATATATTTATTGAAAAAAAAAAATCTGGCCAGGCGCAGTGGCTCACATCTGTAATCCCAGCACTTTGGGAGGCCGAGGCAGGTGGATCATGAGGCCAGGAGATCAAGACCATCCTGGCCAACATGGTGAAAACCCTGTCTCTACTAAGAATACAAAAATTAGTGGGGTGTGGTGGCATGCACCTGTAGTCCCAGATACTTGGGAGGCCGAGGCAGGAGAGTCACTTGAACCCAGGAGGCAGAGGTTGCAGTAAGCCAAGACTGCCCCATTGCCCTCCAGCTTGGATGACAGAGACTCTGTCTCAAAAAAAAAAAAAAAAAAAAAGGAAGAGCCTTTTTCGCTCCTCCCACCGCCCAAGATGCCAAAAGGAAAGAAGACCAAGGGGAAGAAGCTGGCTCCGGCCCCTTCTGTTGTGAAGAAGCAGGAGGCCAAGAAAGTGGTGAATCCCCTGTTTGAGAAAAGGCCTAAGAATTTTGGCATTGGACAGGACATCCAGCCCAAAAGAGACCTCACCTGCTTTGTGAAATGGCCCCGCTCTAACAGGTTGCAGCTGCAGAGAACCATCCTCTATAAGCAGCTGAAAGTGATTCCTGCAGTTAACCAGGTCACCCAGGCCCTGGACCACCAAACAGCTACTCAACTACTTAAGTTGGCCCACAAGTACAGACCAGAGACAAAGCAAGAGAAGCAGCAGAGGCTGTTGGCCCGGGTCAAGAAAAAAGCTGCTGGTGAAGGGGACATCCCCATAAAACAGACCACCTGTCCTTCAAGCAGGAATTAACACCATCACCACCTTGGTGGAGAACAAGAAAGCTCAGCTGGTGGTGGTTACACATGACGTGGATCCCATTGAGCTGGCTGTCTTCTTGCCTGCCCTGTGTCATAAAATGGGAGTCCCTTACTGCATTATCAAGGGGAAGGCAAGACTGGGACATCTGGTCCACAGGAAGACCTGCACCACTGTCGCCTTCACACAGGTTAACTCAGAAGACAAAAGTGCTTTGGCTAAGCTGGTGGAAGCTATCTGGACCAATTTCAAAGACAGGTATGATGAGATCTGCAGTCACTGGGGAGGCAACGTCCTGGGTCCTAAGTCTCTGGCTCGCATCGCCAAGCTCGAAAAGGCAAAGGCTAAAGAACTTGCCACTAAACTGGGTTAAATGTACACTGTAGAGTTTCCGGTGAATCAAAATTAAAAAAATACAAATTTTCCTTCAAAAAGAAAATCATTTATAAGTGGAGCCCATGCAGTTCAAACCTGCATTATTCAAGAGTCAACTGTAGTTAAGATGAGGTCATAATGGATTAGGTGGGCCCCTAATCCAATATGATTGGTGTTTTTATACAAAGGGAAAATCTGGACAATGACATACGCAGAGGGAAACACCATGGAAAGACAAAGATTGGGGTGATGCGTCCATAAGCCAAGAAATGTCGAAGACAGCAGCAAAGCACTGTTATCTAGGGGAGAGGTATTATGGGACAGATTCTTCCTTACAGGCCTCAGCAGGAACCAGTCCTGCTGCCACCTTCATCTCAGACTTTTGCCTTCCAGAACTGTGAGACAGTAAATTGGTTAAGCCACCCAGCTTATGGTAGTTTGTTACATCGGCCCTAGCAGACTAATACAGATGGTTTTGAGGACTAGTTCACATTGTGGAGCTTGACAAATTACCTTATAACCCTCACTAGTGACCAAATTATTTGTAATCTCTAGATCTAAGTCTGTTTTCCTCAGACTGGAGTGGAAAAACACTCCTCGGCCAGGTGCGGTGGCTCACGCCTGTAATACCAGCACTTTGGGAGGCCAAGGAATGCAGATTGCTTGAGGTCAGGAGTTTGAGACCAGCCTGGCCAACATGATGAAACCCTGTCTCTACTAAAAATACAAAAAAATAGCCAGGTCTGGTGGCAGGCACCTTTAATCACAGCTACTTGGGAGGCTGAGGCAGGAGAATTGCTTGAACCTCGGGGGCAGAGGTGGCAGTGAGCCTAGATTGTGCCACTGCACTCCAGCCTGGACAACAAGAGTGAAACTTAGTCTCAAAACAAACAAACCAGCAGCAACAACAACAAAACACTCCCCAGATTTTGGTCTTTGGATTTCCTTTTCCTAAATCGAATATCTTCCTTCTTCTATATCTACATCCTTTTTTCTGAAGTGCAAATTTTTTTTTTAACCTTTTTGTGGAGAATGGGGTCTTGCTATGTTGCCCAGGCTCAAACTCCTGAGATCAAGAAATCCTCCCTCTTTTGTCTCCTTAAGTGCTGGGATTACAGACATGAGCCACAGTGCCCGGCCTCTTCTGAGGTGCCAATACCATTTATTACATCTCAGTTCTCTTAGTCATACTCCAGTTACATCTCCCAGCCCATCCGTGTCACTCCTGCCAAGGCTTTGCATACAGTCCAGGACTATTTTCAGTTTTAGTGACTAGAAGAATCACCTGGGGCTGCTGGTTATAAGAAAGAAAGAAAAGCACACTTATAACCCCTATCTCTAGAGATTTTGATTTATAGGCCTGTGGTAGGATCCAAGAATGATCACATTAGCTAAGCACCGCAGGTACTGTTAACCTCCTGGATTATCTGTTGATTCTTACCAGTTTTATTCTTGAGCAGAATCCAGATTCCAAACTCTGGAGACATCAAGCTTGGTCTTACTTTGGAAATACTCCCAGCATTTAGGATTTAGACATTTCCTCCCTAAGCAGAGTGGGTGTCCTGAACCAGTCTCATTCATTCCTTCAACAAAATTTTTTGAATATCTGCTATGAACAAAATACTGTTCTAGGGTCTAGGGAAACATCAATAAAACAAATAGACAAAAATCCCTCACATTCTAGCTGGGAAAAACAGTGAGTTAAATCCATAAACATACTAGGTGAGCAGTACTATGGGGAAAACATAAGCAAGATAGAAAATGTGAGTGCCGGGGGCTGCAGGCATCACAGTGTTTTAGTTTTTTATTTCTTTTTGTAAAGACAAGATCTTGCTTTGTTGCCCAGGCTGGTCTAGAACTCCTGGCCTCCAGTGGTCCTTCTCAGCCTCCCGAAGTACTGAGATTACAGATGTGAGCCAGCACCCTGCTGGGCCGGGTTGCAATTTTTTTTTTTTTTTTTTTTTGAGACGGAGTTTTGCTATTGTTGCCTAGGTTGGAGTGCAATGGCACAATCTCAGCTCACTGCAGCCTCTCCCTCTTGGGTTCTCGGTTTCAAGTGATTCTCCTATCTCAGCCTCCTGAGTAGCTGGGACTATAGGTGTGCCACCATGCCTGGCCAATTTTTTATTTTTAGTAGGGACAGGGTTTCTCCATATAGGCCAGGCTGGTCTCGAACTCCTGATCTCAGGTGATCCACCTGCCTGAGCTTCCCAAAGTGCTGGGATTACAGGCATAAGCCACTGTGCCTGACCCTGCGTTGCAATTTTAAACAGGTTGTTCTAAGTAGGCCTCACTGAAAAAGTGACTGAAAAGTGAGCAGCGTGGCTTTCTAGAAAAGTGTATCCTGCAGAGGAGACAACCAGTATAAAGTCCCCAGGCAGAAGCTGAGCACACCTGGGGTGTTTCCCAGGAACAATTTAGAGGCCAGAGTGGTTGAATATGAGTGAGAGAGGGTGGCTGAGCTAAGGTCAGAAAGCTTACGAAGGAACCAGGTCATGCCCTTGGCAGCCATTGCAAGGCCACTGGCTTTCCCTCTGAGTGAGGTGGGGAGCCACAGGAGGGTTTGCGCAGTAACATGCTCCGACTTTTTTTTTTTTTTAGATTCAGAACATATATGTGCGGGTTTGTAACATGGATATACTGTGTAAGATTGTGGTCTGGGCTTCTAGTGAAACTGTCACCCAAACAGTGAACATTGTACCCAGTGGATTTTTTTTTTTTTTTTTAACACGGAGTCTTGCACTGTCACCAAGCTAGAGTGCAGTGGCATGATCTTGGGTCACTGCAACCTCTGCCTCCTGGGTTCAAGTGATTCTCCTGCCTCAGCTTTCTGCATAGCTGGGACTACATGAGTGTGTCACCAGGACCAGTTAAATTTGGTATTATTAGTAGAGATGGGTTTCACCATGTTGGCCAGGATGGTCTCCATCTCTTGACCTCATGATCTGCCCATCTCGGCCTCCCAAAGTATTGGGATTACAGGCATGAGCCACTGAACCAGTGTCCCAATAGATAATTTTTCAACTTTCAACACTCACCACCCTCCTCACTATTGGGGTCCCCAGTGTCTACTGCTTCCAATCTTTGTCTGGCTTAGATTTTTGAAGTATTACTCAGGCTGTTGTAAGGGGAACAGGAGTGGAAACAGGGAGACTGTTTAGGTGATCCAGTAAGCCAGGTGGGAGACACTGGTCACTGGCCATAGGTTAGTAGCAGCTGAGATGATGCGAGGTGGTAATGCTGGTTGTATTCTGAAGGTGGAGCCAACAACTTTCTAACAGACTGGATGTTGAATGTGAGAGAAGAGAGACATCAAGGAAGATTCTCCTCAGGATAAATCTTGGAATTCTGGCATGGAATGCAGAGCAGAAGCATCCCCAAATGATATAGCATATAGCCTGCAGGTTTCTGGCCACCGTCCTACACCCAGAAGCAGAGCCAGCCTGACAGTGGAGACAGTACTGCTTGTGGCAGGGCAGAGTGGCAGAAACTGGTCCTGGGGTCAGGGCTGATCTACCTCTGCACCTTCAGGTACATCACCAAGGACCTTCCTTGGTTATTTTCTGTTACTTGCATCCAAAAGCATGCTTACTGCTATTCTGCTCCAGAGTCGCAGAAGTCTCTCAGATGCACTTTGCCCAGAGAAACTTTTTTGGAAAGACTTTACTTTTTTTTTTTTTTTCTGATACTGAGTCTTGCTCTGTCTCCCAGGCTGAGTGCAGTGGTGCACTCTCAGCTCACTGTAACCTCTGCCACCTAGGTTCAAGCGATTCTCTTGTCTCAGCCTCTGGAGTAGCTGGGATTACAGGCATCTGCCACCATGCCTGGCTAATTTTTGTATTTTTAGTAGAGGCGGGGTTTCACCATGTTGGCCGGGCTGGTCTCAAACTCCTGACCTCAAGCGATCCACCCACCTCGGCCTCCCAAAGGGCTAGAATTGTAGGTGTGAGCCACCATGCCCAGCTTCCAGCTAAGACTTTACTTTGTGTGTGTGTGTGTGTGTGTGTGTGTGTGTGTGTGTGTCTGCATCCATGATTTGAAGGACTTTACTTTTTTAGGAGCGGTTTTAGGGCCAGGTGTGGTGGCTCACACCTGTAATCCCAGCACTTTGGGAGGCCGAGGCAGGCAGATCACTAGGTCAAGAGATTGAGACAATCCTGGCCAACATGGTAAAGCCCCATCTCTACTAAAAATACGAAAATTAGCTGGGTGTAGTGGCACATGCCTGTAGTCCCAGCTACTGGAAGGCTGAGGCAAAAGAATCGCTTGAACCTGGAGGTGGAAGTTGTAGTGAGCTGAGATTATGCCACTGCATTCCAGCCTTGAGACGAGCGAGACTCTGTCTCAAAAAACAAACAAACCAGTTTTAGGTTTATAAGGGAAGGTACAGATTTTCCATATATCCCCTGCCTCCACACATGCACAGCCTCCCCAACTATCAACATCCCCCACCAGAGTGGCATCCGCTACAATTGATAAACCCACATTGACACATCACTATCATCCCAAGTGCATAGTTTGCATTAGGGCTCACTTGTAGTGTTGTACATTCTAGTGGTTTGGACAGGTATATAATTATATATACTGTGTATATCATTATACAGTAGTCTCATACAGAGTATTTTCACTGCCCTAAAGATCCTCTGTGGCCAGGAGTGGTGGCTCACGCCTGTAATCCCAGCACTTTGGGAGGCCAAGACAGGTGGATCACAAGGTCGGGAGATCAAGACCATCCTGGCCAACATAGTGAAATCCTGTCTCTACTAAAAATAAGAAGAAAATTAGCCGGGTGTGGTAGCGCGTGCCTGTAATCCCAGCTACTCAGGAGGCTGAGGCAGGAGAGTCACTTGAACCTGGAAGTTGGAGGTTGCAGTGAGCTGAGATTGTGCCACTGTACTCCAGCCTGTACTCCAGCCTGGCAACAGATCGAGACTCTGTCTCAAAAAAAAAAAAAAAGATCTGGCCGGGCGTTGTGGCTCACTCCTGCAATCCCAGCACTTTGGGAGGCCGAGGCAGTGGATCACACGGTCAAGAGATAGAGACCATCCTGGCCAACATGTTGAAACCCGTCTCTACTGAAAAATACAAAAATTAGCTGGGCGTAGTGGCATGTGCCTGTAGTCCCAGCTACTCGGGAGGCCATGGCAAGAGAATTGCTTGAACCCAGGAGGCAGAGATTGCAGTGAGCCGAGATTGCACCACTGCACTCCAGCCTGGTGCCTGACGACAGATCAAGACTGTCTCAAAAAAAAAAAAAAAGAACTTCTGTGTTCTCACCTATTATTCCTTCTTCCCTCCAAACCCTAGCAACCACTGATCTTTTTAGTCTCTTCAAGTTTTGCCTGTTCCAGAATATCATATAGTTGGAATCATACAGCATATAGCCTTTACAGATTGGCTTCTTTCACTTGTTAATATGCATTTAAGTTTCCTCTGTCTTATCATGGCTGAATAGTTCATTTCTTTTTAGTGCTGAATAATATCCCATTGTCTGGATATACCACAGCTTATTTATTCATTCACCTACTGAAGGACATCTTAGTTGCTTCTAAGTTTTGGCAATTATGAATAAAGCTGTCATAAACATCTGTGCATAGGTTTTTGTGTGGACGTAAGTTTTCAACTCATTTGGGTAGCTCCCAAGGAGTATGATTGCTGGAGCATATGGTAAGAGTATGTTTCGTTTTGTAAGAAACTGCCAAACCGTCTTCCAAAGTGGTTGTACCATTTTGCCTTCCCACCAGCAATGAACGAGAGTTCCTGTTGTTGCACATCCTTGAGAGCATTTTATATTTTCCGTGTTCAGGAATTTAGCCACTGAAATAGATGCGTGGGGATAACTCTGTTGTTTTAATTTGTATTTCCCTGATGACATATGTGGATCATCTTTTTGTATACTTGTTTGCCATCTGTATATTTTCCTTGGTGGGTATCCAAGTCTTTGGTCCATTTTTTAATTTGGTCATTTGTTTCATTATTGTTGAGTTTTGTGAATTATTTTTATATTTTAGATACCAATCCTTTATCAGATGTGTCTTTTGCAAATATTTTCTCTTTGTCTGTGGCTTGTTTTCTCATTCTTGATTTTTTAAAATTATTGTAATAGAGATGGGGTCTCACTATATTGTCCAGGCTGGTCCTGAATTCCTGGTCTCAAATAATCCGCCCACCGTGGCCTCCCGAAGTGCTGGGATTATAGGCAAGAGCCACTATGTCTGGCTTATTCTGTCAATAATGTCTTTCACAGAGCAGAATTTTTACATTTTGAAGAAGTTCAATTTATCAATCATTTCTTTCATGGATCATCCCTTTGGTACTGTTTCTAAAAAGTCATTGTCATACCCGAGGTCATCTAGGTTTTCTCCTATGTCATCTTCTAGTTTTATAGTTTTGCATTTTACATTTAGGTCTATGATCCCTATGAGTTAATTTTTGCTAGGAGTGTGAAGTCTGTATCTAGATTCATTTTTTTTTCATGTGGATGTTCAGTTGTTCCAGCACCACCTGAAGAAGCTTTTCACTGTTCTACCAGTGCTAGACTACAGACCTCTGGGATGACTTTGCCAAGACATTCTTTCTTATGCCTCTCCCATCTCGCTGAATTGGTCTATTGGCAAATTGCAAACTCCTTAGGGCACTGTATCAGGAGCAGGGCCAGACCAGCTCAGCATGGCAGAAAGCCTGAAATAGTTAGCACAACATCCCCATGTGATAGGTAGTAGTTAATTGCCTGTATTCTACAAAGTTGAGAACAGAGATTAAGTGACTTACTCAGAATCAGAAAAGTCTTCTATTTCAAATCTAAGATTAGTCTCTCTGATTAACTAATTGCAATCCATCTGTCACATAGAAGAGAGTAGGGGTTTGCAGGAGGAGACCATCTGGCTGGCTGCTTCACTGCTTGTCAATTTATTGATTTAGACACCACAGATATGATCCTCAGCTTTACACATCCGATAACTACTGGGCCCTGTGCTCAAGGAGATTAAACTAGAAAGGATCAATTCATCATACGGAAACTTATAAGACACTGATGTGTAAATCAGTTTGTTGGATTATTTATAATAGGAAGTGTTTCTCACATGTGGGAATCTGTAAACTCTTGAATATATCTCAATTTGAGAAACACTGCATTCAAACTTCCATTATGAGACTTTGGGTCACTTGACCAAGACAGTCATGAATCCAAATCCAGCATGGCCATTGATATTATGTGGCACTACTCTGTAAAAAGGTGGTGATACTGTGTTAAAATTTTTCCATTTTCTTTAAAATTAAAACACAACGTTTAAAAATTCTTATAAAGAATTTATGGACCTCTGAAATATTAAGAATCCAATTTTAAAAACAATGCTATAAGACAAAGGCTTTGCCTGAAAACTGGGCTGTTTATAGATACAGGATGCTCTAAAGCAAGGCCACTCAGGGAACCGAGTCGCAATTAGAAGGTGGATTGGTGGGAGAAGAAAAAGAACCAGAGAGAGTTTGCTGTTCCCAGGGAACATGGTGCTAAGACAAGGGCAGTTGCTTATCTTGTCTGCATTTGTGGCACAAGTATTTCTGTTTAAGATTCTACTGGTCGGGTTGGGCACGTTGGCACACACCTGTAATCCCAGCACCTTGGGAGAGATTACAGGTGTAATCCACTGCTCTCCTGAACCATCGTCTCCTACTTATGTTGCCCATAAATATGCAACCCCAGCTCAGACTTGGGGAGGGCTTCTGGAATGGGCTGAGGAGAGTCTTGATTCAGAAATACATCGCTAAATAGCAGCAGTTAACGTTCTGACAATTAGAGTTGCATTTAGAGTGGACCTAGTTGAAATCTGTAGGATGAATTTTTTAAGTGAATTTTGCCTTCTGCTTTTATTTTTTAATTTTTGAAAGTTATTTTTTAAAAATAAATGGACGGGGTATAAATGGAAGAGGCTGAATATTGATAGTTGTTGTAGTTGGTGATAAGTACATGAATTCATTGTACTAATAATGTCTCTGAGGAAAGATCACAATATGTTGTTTAAGTTTTTATAAAAACACATAAGAAGTAATAAATGTACCTGGACAGTCGAACATATGAACATCATGAAAAGGAAAAAAAAAGAATTGCTTGAGCCTAGAAGGTTGAGGCTGCAGTGAGCCGAGATCATGCTACTGCACTCCAGCCTGGGTGACAGAGTAAGACCCTGTCTCAAAACAAAGCAAAGATTCTACCCGTCATGGAGAAGACAGCACCATCTTTCGTGCACTATGGTAGAAAAGCACCGACAAACAATTACTCACTGACCTCCATTTTCCTAGACTTTGTTTTAAATCTGTGAAGCCTCCCGGCGACTGCATCATAGGATGCACTTTCACTTGACAAGGAAAACTTGGACCAGATCAGTGAACTCCAGAGCCCGTGGTATTTCAGCTTAGCATGTTGCTAGTTTCTCTCATTGAACTAAATAATGGGGGATCCTTAAATACTACAGGAAATGGGAAAAGCAACCTTCTATCACTTTCTCCATTTTGTCTACAACAGTCTGAGAATCACTCATTCTTCTCAAATGACTTCTTTCAGTGTTCTCAACTTACCCCTTTTTTGGTATTTGGCTTTGACCAACCCTCCTCTTTCCCACCTACAGGTTCAATGGTGTCAGTGCTAGGAACTAGGGAGCACCCACTGCCCACTGCCACGTACTCCCTCCTGGCTCGGGAGCCAGCTTGGACTAGAGCCAGACCCAACACTGGGCTGCCTCCAAGCAGCCTGAGAGAATGCCTGCTGTTCCCAGGCAGTGATTCTGGGCACAGCCTTCAATCGCCAATTCTTCCCAGGCCCCTCAGAGCCCAGAAAGGGCATGTAATCCCTTACACTGCTTGGCAAGTGCCTGTTTGTTCTCTAGTATGGTCAGAACCAGGGAGAAGGGGGCCTGGCTAGTCCTAGAAATGAGAGGGCTGCCCGGGAGTGCTGCTGGGGAACATGCTGTAGGGCTGTAGGGGCCCCACAGGGTCGTGGGGTGTCCTTTATGCTGTGCTGAGGTGCAGGATCTAAGAAGTAAAGAGACAGGACACTGAAGAACTGGTGAAGAGCATCCGGACTCGGGGGGCCACGCAACCTGTGAGTGGAGATCAGCGAGAGCCCCAAATGCCCAGCAGCATCTGTATTTATTAGGTACAAGTAGGGGGCAGGGTTATGAGTGAGGTCATCATCTATGGGCTTAGTAATAGCCCACAATCACGTGAGTCACAAGAGAGGGCGCTACCCCATTATGTCACCTAGGCAGAGAGGTGAGCCATGCACAGCAGGGGGCTGTGCCATGCACAGTAGCAGAGGGTCATGTACAGAAAAAGGGGTCCACCCCCATTAGGTCACCAAAGCAAGGAGGTGGGCTGTGTGCAACAGGTGTTGTGAGCAACACTTCTTATCTGGGGGCTGGAGACTTCAAAGGATTTCTAATAGAAGGATACTGTAAGCTTAATACAGTGGGAGCTGACAGACTTGTGCTCTCTCTTAAGATATTTATGGGAAGATGGCTTGAGCTAGCACAGAAGTAAGAAAAGACTAACAGGCTGTACAGGCGCTGTGACCAGTCACACCGGAGGGGTTCTTCTCCCTCGGTTATTTCCAGGATCTCAGGGCTGAGGCCTACTTTCCACAGGAACTGGATGCAAGGTACTACAACTCCTTTATCAGGAGGAGAGGCTCTTGCTCCAAGCCTGCCATACAGCGTATGCCCTTTCAGGCAGGGACCCCACCGCCTGGATCTTTGGTTCTTGTCCTGGTCTGGCTGTTTTCCCATGTACTGCTTCTGTTCTGTGACTGCTCTAGGCATTCCTCCTACTACAAACTACTATATGGTTATATGGAAGGATTCTATAAATCAGCATTAAATGTGTCAGTACAGCTCTGACTACAATACCTATATGATTTTTTTTTTTTTTTTTTGCCAATCAGTTTGAGCTTATAAGGTTGCTCAGGTTAGCCTTGAACTCATGACCTCGCCTTCGCAAGCGCCACAACCTCCGGCGGGAGCCACTTTGGACCCCAATACCTATATGATTATATTGAAAGATTATATAGAACTAAGTATGTTAGATATAAGTACTAAGTATGATTATATAAGCTGGATATATGTAAGCAGTAAGTTATACTTCAGGCACTAATTCTATAAACTGATATATGCTTATATATAAAGGATTATATAAAGGAAATAGCTGAGTAATAACGCTATAGACTAAGATATTCTTCAGGCACTAATTGTGCCTGGGGTCTGGACAGTTCTCCTTCCTTGGGGCCTGTGGGGGGTGTTACCCACACATGCGGTTGGTGGTGGCCAACCCCTCCCTTACCTGTCTGCTATACCTACTCAGTGCTGACTCCTGTGCAGGTGTCACCAGTGACCTCAGGGGCTCTTCAGTCTAGCGGGGTTGGACTGCTGCTGTCACCTTTATCCACCCTATCACTTCCTACCTATGCATGCAGCTTATCTTCTTCCCGCAGCCTGGACTGCTTGTCCATGTTAGCTCCTCCTCACCAAATCCTCCCCACCCTTGAAGATCCACAGCTCAAACGAGTCCTCCAGGAAGACTTCTATGATCTACAACCAGAAGGAATCCCTTTTTTTGCAATTGCCCTACCCATTTTCCTGGACCTATCTTCAAACACAAACAACATTCTATTATAGCTATTTCAATTATAGCTATATTTAAAAGTATAGCTGTTGATATACATTTTGTTTTTTAAGATGGAGTCTTCCTCTTGATGCCCAGGCTGGAATGCAATGGTGCGATCTTGGCCTACTGCAACCTCCACCTCCTGGGTTCAACAAGCTATTCTCTTACCTCAGCTTCCTGAGTAGCTGGGATTACAGGTGCCCACCACCATGCCCAGCTCATATTTGTATTTTTAGTAGAGATGGAGTTTCACCATGTTGGCCAGGCTGGTCTCAAACTCCTGACCTCAGGTGATCCAACTGCCTCGGCCTCCCAAGGTACTGGCATTACAGGTGTGAGCCACTGTGCCTGGCCCGATGTATATTTCTTATCTATACTACCAGGAAATAAAGTTGGCAGAAGGGCACATCTGATTGACTTTCTCATAAGGTTCTAAACATTGTAGATATCAGTATTTGCTGGGTGAATACTAAATGAGAAGTGTTGTAGATATGGTGCACAAATGACAGAAATCTGGGTCCTTCACAAGTTTCCCTTCTGAAACTGCCTGTAAGCAGGGTTTCTCTGACTTCCCCACACACTTGTAGCTAAGGGGATCTGTTGCAGGGGGAAAGGGAGCCTCCAGCTTCTCCATCCAGCACGAAACCAGTGTCCCTTCCCTTTGGTCAGTGCCTAGGCCATCCCAGTTGTGAAATGTTTTGAATATCAGCCTTGCATGAAAGGGGAGGCAGCACCCAACCAGATGATGTTGAAGAGACACTGGATACAAAGGCATGTTACAGCAGTGCGACATTCTCACTGAAGGAGGCTAGAGAAGGTGGGGAAGCCTGCTGTCAGAAGCTGGAAAGCAGGGGAGATCATTTCATCTGTTGTTAATTACTTGTGTAACTTTGGACAAAAAAGTACTAGCCTGGAGCCAGAGACCTGAGTTCTAGTCTGGACATCTGCACTTGGATCTTGGGCCAAGTCACTTCATCTTGTCACAGTTAATTCATCTACACAGTAAAAGAGGATTGTTATGGTGAGATACAGGGCTGCTTGATGAATGTAGAAAGTCATGAATGAAGCCTGGAGAATGGACAGGTCAAAGGGAAAGTGTTTATATGTTGAGCCTTCCTGTGAAAGATAGTGTCCATTTTGTGTGGGTGTGCTGTACTTTAACAGGATATATTGGCTCGAGACCAAGGATTGGAATTGAGCACCTGCCAAAAGATGGAGAAAATAAACAGGAGTATTCAGTGTTAACCTGATATTTCAATACCTAAGGTGCCCAGTGGTCCAAAGTATTTTCTCTTGAAACAAGAAGTACTTCTTATCAGTTCAAACCACAGTTAAACTATGCTCTTTTTCTTTGTAAGGACAATTTTTAAAAATGTAAGTTCTTTATTATTTCTCCTCTGAAAGAGCTCACAACACATTGCCAAGTGTGCCCGTGAGCGCAGAGTAGGTTCTGTAAAAGTTTGTCTCGTTTAGTTTATTATCATTGTTTTTAAGCTTTAGTTTAAGAAAGTCACTTGTTGATTTTATTTTTCTATGCAAATAGAATTGCTTAATAGAAGAAAAAGAAATGAAGCAACTCTCAGCAAATTACCCAAAAGCAGAAGTTGAGTTTCTTTCACATGAGTGTTCAAGTGTTTCAGTCACATACTCTAGTCTTGGCAGCTCGTGACTGGCAAAGGCCAGAGCTGTGTTGAGCAAAGTCAGAAGTGAAGACATCTGAGCAGCCAGAGGCATGCAGGCAGGAGGTAGACACGTGGGACTGGTGCTGGGGATGAATCTTCGTTTGTTTGTTAAAACAGGATCTGGCTCTGTTCTCCAGGCTGGAATGCCGTGGTGCGATCTTGGCTGACTGCAATCTCCGTCTCCTGACTCAAGCCATCCTCCCACCTCAGCATCTCAAGTAGCTGGGACTACAGGTGCACACTACCATGCCTGGCTAATTTTTGTATTGTTTGTAGAGATAGGGTTTCACCATGTTGCCCAGGCTTGTCTTGAACTCCTGAGTTCAAGCAATCTGCTCACCATGGCCTCCCAAAATGTTAAGACTACAGGCATGAGCCACCATGCCAGGCCTGGGGAAGAATCTTTGAGCAAGGCCACTTAGTAGCAGTAAACACCAGCTACTCACACACTCAGTTACAACTCATGTAACAGAAACTTGTTGTGTACTTTCTAATTTCTCAGACATGTGTTGTATTTTAGGAATCTTGAAAGATCCCCATGGGATCTTTCTCTAAACTGGTTCTGTTCAAGATCAAACCCTGACCTGCTGACTTGTAAGATAATTTTCTACATTTGAGAAACATCGAAATCTGAAAGTCTTAAAAATAAATATATGATAATTGCTTAGAATCAGGAATAGAGATATATAATTTCAACAATATGCACTTAAACTTGAATTATTCCCAGCTTCTTTTTTTCTAGGTAGGAGCCATAACTATAGTACCTGGTAGGAAATAAAGGCTGATAGGTAAGCAGTGAGACAGCTGATTATTTTTCTGGCAAAGAGAATTTTCATAACGTTTTTCATACACTACTGGACTAATGCTAAGACTTGCTGTTGGCTATTTATCACCTACAAAAATTAGGTTTCTGTTTTTAATCTTGATAAGAGAGCAGTTGTTACTGTTGTCTTCAGAGAAGAATGGTACCTGAGAGACAGGGGCACCAATGAGTAGGGCCAGAGTTTTTAGCAAGGGGAGCTTTGCTACACAAAAAGGATTTGGGAGATAGTATTTTAACAGATTCTGCCTCAGAAAATTAGATTTTCTAATTGCTTTTGTTGTTAAATGCAAGTGGATAAAATATGTGTCTGATCAGTTTCATAATAGGGCAAGTCCCCGGCTCTGCTTATACCAGATATAAGCTGATTCACTGGTTTTCCCTTAAGTCTGATGTTTTAGGAAGGGCTTTAAATGTAAGCATAAGTAGCAGCATAGACAATTGTCTCCTTCAGGTCTTTCATCAATGTCACATCTCAATCAAGGACCACTTTGACCATCTTACTTAAAATTGTGATACCACACCCAACCTCGACACTGCATTCTTTTCTTGATTGAACATATCCCTTTCCAACCTATGAATTTACTTATTTGTTATACTTATTGCTTATTATCTGTCTCCTTCTACCAGAAGGTAACCTGTACAAAGGCAGGATTGCCTGTGTTATTCACTGACACATTTTTAGTGCCATAAACAGTTCCTAGTTTGTAGTAGTCACACAGTAAATATTTGTTGAATGATTGGATGGACATCTAAATATCTGCACTTTCACATCCTCTTCTGCTCATAGAACACTACCAATATCCAACAACCCTAAGGTGCATTTCTTAAAGACGAAACCCCGGTGGGTATGTGTGATCAAAGTATAGTAAGAGTACTGATGTTGGAACACAAATGTTTGGAGTTCCAGTCATTCTTTGAGCATTTAGGGAAGCAGCTAAGTGCCAACTTTGTTTAGGATATGAGAAGGAAGCTCTCTCTGTTACTAGTAAGTTAAGTCAGCATGTATTTGTGAACCACTCATTTCTGTGTGTCTGGTGCTGAACTCATTGTGAGACTTCCCAAAAAGGAGTACACTCTGCCATTGTTCTCACCAAAGTTTGCCACGTGGCTGGGGAGGTTTCCACGGAAAGCCTACCTTATGGATCTTGACTCTTATTGGCAAGAGGATGCACCTAAGTTTGAGGAAGGAACTGTTCTAATTTGAGCTTTTTTTAAATCTAGGCCAATAAAAATCATTAAAAGCATTTGCAATCACTTGCTTAGACCAATGGCTGGTTCCTTTGGCCAAACAACCAAAGAGTTTTCAAAGTAATTATTTGTGTAGTGAGACTGAGCTGAATATTTTCAAATTATCTCCATACCCAGGTGCTCTTGTGAGGAAGATAGCATGCTTGTTTCCCTGCTGTCCTCTACTTGCTGTAAATGACTTGGTCATAATTGGATGCCCAATTCTCTTGTCGCTTTAATGAAGAGACAAGTCTGCATTTGACTCGTATCCTAGCTTCTCAATCAGAGCCCCCACCCCCCACTCTGGTCCTCCCAGGCATGTTCGCCTGTGCTCTCATCTGATCAATACAGTCATTGTCTGGTCTCATGGTCTATGGTCCCTCCACTTCTAGCCCCCACTGCATGTCAGAACCAGATTAATTCTTCTAAATCATGGCTTTCACCTTATTGGGCATCTCTTTAGAAATTAACTTGACAACAATCCATAGAACAAAACCCAGACTTCTCAGCCTAGCGTTCTAACCCTTCCATCAAGTGGTCCATCAGCTTTAGGTGACCCGAGCTCCTACTCCGAACTAGAATGAACACTGTGCTTCAAACTGGTCTCTTGACTCCTCTTTCCATTCCAGGTTCTCATTTTCCCTTTCCCAGGCCTTGCTGTCCATCCTGATCCCATCTCCATGACTCTGACCCCATCTGCACCACTTTGTTGATGCTTCTTCTCATCCACCCATCCATTCATTCATTCAATGGATATTGAGCTTCTACCATATACTAGGCAGCCAGGCTCTGGGAAAATAATCCAGGTAATTTGAATGACACTGTCTCCCCTTCTCCCTCAATCCAAGGAGATCCACACTGCAGGCTGCCTTCAGAAGCCTATTCAAACCTCACCTTCTCAATGGTTCCCTGACTCTGCAAGGCAGCCAAGTGTACTGGTTACGAGCAAAGACTTAGGAATCAGATAAATTAGGGTGAGAATATTCTTCTGCCACCAAATACTTGTGGAATATTGGGCAATGTACCCAATCTTTCTAAGCCTCCCATTACCTCATCTATAAAATTGGGATCATAGGTACCTCATGGATTTGTTGTGAGGATAAAGAGAGATAATAATCAATAGTGGTGTTGCTGTTATTATCTTTTCCTGATAATACTATCTGAGTATTATCTGAAAACCTAGAGCAGCATAAATGATGCCTGGTCAATCAAGAATGAGTGTATTTTGCTTGTGATGTAACTTGTGTGTCTCTTGAAACTCCTTCCTTGCTCCGTAGTACTTCACAAACGCATAGTGAATGCATGCCCAGTAACAAGACTTGTGGCTGTCTCATCTCTCCTATTGGATCTCCAATTCCTCAGGGACACCAGCTTCTGGCTGTCCTTTCTATACCCTCTCCCAGGCCAGATGAACTCTTTCTGTGGCCTGAAAGCCATCAAGATAAAAATGGAGACGCCTCTGTCTGATCTGAGGCTAATGGGAGAGGAAAACTTTTACAAACTGGAGGGGGCCTGAATTTCCAGCTAGTGTTAAGTGGCCATATCAAAGTATAACCCACGGCTTCAATTTGGTCTGTCAAAGATGGAATTAAAAGTAAATTTGAAGTTTCACAACATAGTTCTCTCTATTAGGGGTGCTTCTGTGCATTAAAATCATCTCTATGAGGTTCACTGGGATGGACAGAGATTCAATCATTGCTAATGGCTTGAGGAAATGGGGTGGTGAGAATTAGGGTCATCTATCCCAATTGGGGAAAGAAGAACTAGGAAATGTGTTTTTCAATCTTGACATCTTGCCAGCTGGAGCTGAAGGGAAATGTTTTTCTGAGCTCGTTGAGCAGCCTACTCACAAATCATAGAGAGAGCTGCATTCCATGAGAATAGATATAATTTTTATGTGGTTTAGTTAAAGACTTGTACCACCCACTCAGAGTCATGCAGAGCACTCCTTAGGGACCCTTGAAACTACACCATATCTTGAGGTTGGAGCCCACTTTAGCAAATGCCATGATCATGGGTTTTATGCAGTGAGGCTATTTATATAACCCCAGTAACAGTCTGAAATGTTACAAGAAAAATACAACATGGCAGACGCACCCACCAAATTCTGCATATTTAGTCCTCAGTAGATTACAAAGATATTGTCCTAGGTATAATATTTAGGTGCCTTATCTGTTTTGAAATACCTATTTGATATTAAGTAGTCTTAATAAGAATAAATATTCTAAATAGGTTATAAATAAACTTTATCTTTTCAAAAAAGTCAATCTCATCCAGTTCTTTTGTTTATTTGTTTGTTTGTTTGTTTGTTTTGTTTTGAAACAGTTTTACTCTTGTTTCTCAGGCTAGAGTGCAGTGGTGCAATCTCGGCTTACTGCAACCCCCACCTCCCAGGTTCAAGTGATTCTCCTGCCTCAACCTCCCATGTAGCTGGGATTACAGGCATCCATCACCATGCCCAGCTGATTTTTTGTAGTTTTAGTAGAGGTGTATTTTCAGTTTCACCATGTTGGCCAGGCTGGTCTTGAAATCCTAACCTCAGGTGATCCACCAGCCTCGGCCTCCCAAAGTGCTGGGATTATAGGTGTGAGACACTGCATCCAGCCTCATCCTGATCTTAAGATCAGCCTGGGAGAAGGGCAGGATAGATAATTATGACAATGTTAAATGTTACAGGTGAACAGAGAGAACAGGTAAATGACTCGCCCAAGGTCACAAAGACTATAAGGAGCAGAAGCAGGACAAGAATCCTAGTGGTCATTACTAGTATTGTGATGATTATGACATTGACTCCATGACATACTTCTCTGATTTTTCTGCTCTGCTGTTCTGTACAAAGAGATCTCAGTAATGCATGTGCTCCAGAGTTGCCTTAGTCTGCCCTGGGCTGGGGAGTAGGGTGGTATTGATTGGGTCCTTGCCTTTGGTGCAGATAGGGCCTGGAAACCTGGTCTCACCTTCCTGGCCCATTTCTTAGTTTTGCTTGTGGGCAGGTATGAGTAAGATGGTTAGAACTGGGGCCCTTTTTACATTTCATGTTTTTCTGGTTTCTAAAAATGAAAATGGCAAGCAATCCCTGCAGCAGGAGTATTTGTTCTAGGCAGGGTGTTTCCTGCCAGTTTCCTTGAGTAGGAAGATTTGCCTTTAGGGCATTCCTGCTCCCCAGACTAGGTATGTGATTTCTCTGACACCTTTTAAAGCTCTATCAGATTCAGCCTTTCAGGTCTGTCCTGGTCTGACTATTGGATTAGAGTGAAAATGCAGTAGACTGCATGAATTAATTTTGTTTAAAAAACTATTCTTAAAGCTGGGCGGGGCATACATTTGCCAATATTATCCTGAAGCTTTAAGGGCCCTCTCAGCCCCAGGGGAGTTGGGCTGGCTGGCTTGATTGCAGGAAGAAGCAGTGGTGACCAGCACGGACTGCCACATGCTGGTTTGATGGTGGGGCAGCCTCTGGCAGGAGCGCCCGCAGTTCATTATCTGACATCATCACTCACATTTGGTCTTTGCTTGAATTTCTTTTGGAAAAAAAAGAAGAGAAACACACCCCAAATTCCAGGTAATGAAACACTATTAAACTGGAGGCACCAAGGTTGCATGCATGGGGAGGCTTTTCATCGGACAAGAAAATGTAAAACGCCCTTGCTCCTCCGTAGCTGGAACTCAGCCATATTACACATCTGCATTCAGCCAGCTGCTGATGGTTGTTCTGAGGGCAAAGACCTGAGTTTTGGATGCTCACGAATCAGAGAACGGTACCAGGGGAAACCCAGGGTTGCATTTAGCAACTCGACCCAGAGAATGCAAAATACACCTTCCTGTTCAGTCCCCTTTACACACTGCTTAGACGTGGTGGATTCCCAAAGCTGCAGGGGAAGGCTTGACTTTGAAAGTTTCTAACAGGCTGTATGAACATGCTTTCCCACATAAACACTGAGACATCTGGGGAGAGAGGTGAAAAAAAGAGGGGTGGAGGCAGGGAGACCTCTGGATAGAATAAGCCAAGAGCACAACAGCAGCTGTGAACGTGCCAGAGGCAGGCAGGCAGATAGCCAAGAATCTCTGAGCAAAAGCTAAGCAGCAGGGCAGGCCACTCTCCCCGCAGAGTCACTGGCCTGGAAGTGTTGGATGGTGCCCACCAGTTGCCTAAGCAACCAGGGGTGTCTAGAATTTCTGGGGGTTCGCTTAAGCTCTGGACTCCAAGAGGGGGCTTCTTTATTCTTTCCTAACCGCATGGAGAACACTTGGAGGGTCTGAAGGGACCATGCGGTTTGGGCTCTGAGAGCTGCTTCTCCCCTGGCTAGCAGAGTCTCTGGCCTTTGTAGCTGTGTGCCTCTCAAGCTGGGTTCTGCATGGAAAATCATACTCGTTACTGTATCCTAATTCTTTGGCATGGGTGGGACGTAATTTTTTAGTTGTCGTTGAGACAAGGTCTCTGTTGCACAGGCTGGAGTGCAGTGGTGCAATCACACCTCCCTGCAGCCACCAATCCCTGGGCTCAAGTGATCCTCCTGCCTTAGCCTCCCAAATAGCTGCAACTACAGGTGTGTACCACCTTGCCTCGCTAATTTTTGTATTCTTTGTAGAGATGAGGTCTTGCTATGTTAGTTGCAAACTCCTGGCCTCAAGCAATCCTCCTGCCTTGGCCTCCCAAAGTGCTGGGATTACAGGGTTGAACCACTGCACCTGGTCTAATTTCTAAATTGTCCTTTGTTGTCTGGGGATCATGTTCTCCCCAGAGTCTCTGCATCTGTAATTTCCCTTCTCCCACCCCAGCAGGAAAGAAACTGAGCATGATGCCACTTAAAGTGTCTCATCCCCAAATCCTCGGAGGCTCAGTCCTGTCCTCGAGAGAGGAGGTAGCCTTATCTACGCCAGCTGTGTGCAGCCCACATCCACAGAGGAGTGGGGAGAGAGCCACAAACACAGCCTCCTCCATTCCATGGCACCACCTCTCTTTTCAACAGTCTTCCTTTTGAAAATGAACTGCATTCCCTAGGCCACCTTATTTTATTTCCTGGCTCCCAGAAATCTTTAGTGTGAGAACAGGCAGAGGAATCTCCTGGGGTGCATTTGGAAGGAAGGGAGTAAGCTCAGGGTTGGATAACTTCCATGAGCGGAATCTAAATCAGTGGTTCTTAACCCTGCTGCACAATAGAATCATCTGGGAGCTGTTAAAAAAATTGCAACGTTCAGGCTGAGGCCCAGAGATTTGGTTCAAGGGGTCTAAATAAAGGTTTTGTTAAAAAAATTTTTTTTTACAAACATATTTTTAAAAACAGCTCCCAGAGATAAGAAGCACCGACCTAAAGGTGAGTAGCTGGGCATAAGCACAGGAAAGGTTCCTGTGTGCTGTGTAACGGGTCTGAACCTTATTTATCTGCAGGAAGCCTCTCCGTTTGGGCTGGTCAAGCAGCTGTGTTTGCTGGCAGAGACAGCTTGCTTCCTCCCTTTATCTACCAGATACACCCTCTTCCTCGGCCTAAACTTGAGGGAGGTGGTGTTGGGTACAAAGACCCCAATTCCATAGCATCGTTATAGCAAGGAAGTTTTTGAGCAGTCCGCAGAGGAGAAATACAGCTTCAGAGCCCTGGGAGGGAGCGGGATGGCTTTTTTTTGTAGGTCTAAAATAAAACCCAGAGGATGGGTGGGTGAAGACAAAAGGAGGAATGAAACAGAAGTGAAACAGCAGATAGAATCATGAACGAAAATGAGAGCATCCAGAAAGACTAAAAATTCTCATACACCTGTTCTTTGAACATCTCAGAAAGTTGGTCTCTTGACTCAAACAATTAAAATTACAAGTGGCCTTCCTTGGAATCTGTCTCAAATCTGTGAATAGCTATAGCTTTGGCAGCTGCATTGGGACAGTTATTTCAGTGTCCCAGAGGAAAGATATTTTGGGGTTTAGTCCTTGCCAGAAATAAGAAGCCAAGGGAAAAGGAGAAACATTACAGAATTTCCAAAAATATTTTGATAGCAATGCAAAACTTTGTAGAAGCTTAAAGAAAAACTAGAGTACACTCTTATTTTAAGGACGCCTAGTGGACTGGCCCTGTATTTTGGCCAGTAGATTATTATGTTTTTTGGATCTTCGAAGGGCCTGTAAGTTCATGGATATACACGTGAGTGTATGAGTATACTGTGTGTGTGCATATTTGTATGTATGCGTGCATTTATTTATAATATACTCAGTCACTTTTGTGATTTGTATATATGGACTAGATTAGTTTTATATAAGTTTTAAAATAATATAGGCCTTTTCCTACTTAGGAAAATGAGGGCAATAACATCAGGTAAGTCTGGTGGGAAAGTTACGCAGGGACGGGTTCAGTTAGAAATTTAAAGTTGGGCTATACCATTTAAGCATCGAATATGACCTGATCCGTCTGCAGTCATCAAGGCAGTTCTAGTTCATCACCATACTTGAGACCCTTTTGTGGGACTGGCTGGGAAATCATTTGCTCCTAAGAAAGCTTGCTGTTTTCCTCCTCCAGCCTTTTTTCCCTGTCCAGCTCCTACATCCCTTGCATTGCTCAGGAAACGTCTCTTTCTTTTCTTTCCTATTTTTTTTTCTTTCAGAGATGGGGTCTAGCTCTGTCACCCAGGCTGAAGTGCAGTGGCACGATCATAGCTCACTGTAGCTCCTGGGCTCAAACAGTCCTCTCACCTCAGCCTCCTGCACAGCTGAGACTGCAGGCACATACTGTCCTACCTTGCTCGGAAGAGTTTGTTTCTACTGTGTCCCAGTCTTAGTGGTTAAAGGACTTTTCTTCTCCTCAGTAGTTTGGCAGTAAGATTGTTGTGTGGGTTCTCATTTTTAATTGGTGGAAACTATTATCGTTCTGTAATATTTTATGTGTTACAATGTGCTCATTTTCTCCACTAACACCCACGGGCAGTGTTGCACAGGGTACAGTTGTGAAAATAGAAAAATAAAAATAAAATAATGTTAATTATGCCCTAAAGGTTGGCAGATGTGGATTTAAGAATTATTGCATTGTACAGGTATCCCTCAGTCCTGTTCATGTTAATAAATATCTCTCTGTCAGTCAACTTGTCTGGGCAGCCAAATCTGTAGAATCAGTTTTGAATTAAAGCTACCAAAAGTGGCAAAGCTTTGCTTATTTCAGCAAAGAAGGTTTTCATGCAATTTGAGACAGAGGAATAAACATTTCCTTGGTAAAAAATAAAAGTACAGGGTCTGAAGGAACAAGATTTTCTCAGTCATCCAAGTGTGAGCCCTTACGAAGGATAGGCAGTTAATAGTGAGCAGAATTCAGATGGGAGTTCTGCTCCAGAACTCAGCAATTGCGTAAACAATACATTATCTACTCTGTAAAGTGTGCAAAACAAACTCACTCCAGTGGCTCTCTTTTTAAACTTTCTGTGATAAGGAAAAGAAACTGTATAATTATTTTAAAAGAATGAATAAAAGACTATTTTCATTCACATAATTATACCTGAAGGAATTTGTTTTATTTCTTTGAATTTTAAAATATTGACTTTGGGGCTGGGCATGGTGGTCCACACCTGTAAACCCAGCACTTTGGGAGGCTGAGGTCAGGAGTTTGAGACCAGCCTGATCAACATAGTAAAACCCCATCTCTACTAAAAATATAAAAATTAGCTGGGCATGGTGGTGGGTGCCTGTAATCCCAGCTACTTGGGAGGCTGAGGTAGGAGAATTGCTTGAACCCGGGAGGTGGAGGTTGCGGTGAGCTGAGATTGTGCCACTGCACTCCAAGGTGGGCAACAGAGCAAGACTCTGTCTCAAAAAAAAAAAAAAAAAAATTGACATTGGTAACTTGTAAGTCCCCCAAAGTGTAGTTTCAAATTCATATTGTTATTAAATTTAAAATTGAGCTTAAGAAAGTTTTATAGATAAATGCTAATTGATAATGATAATTAAAATTTTATAGTGCTGTATAATTTATGAAAAGTGTTCATATGCTTGCTCATTTAATTTTCACAACCTAGAGAGGAAGATCAGGGAGGTTTTATTATCTCTACTTCATGGGTAGAAAGACAAGCCTCAGGAAAGTTGAAGAACTTTCCCCAAGCCATAAAACTGGAATGCTGAAAAAATTAAGTCTAACACAAAACCCATGGTCTTATTTAACTGCTAATTGATTTGTTGGGAAGGATGGTTAAAAGCTAATGAATGTAGGTATCTTGGATCATATGGTTTCTTATGAACATTTTAAGTTTTGTTAGGTTTTTCTCAGATGGTAAGCAAGCTCAAGCTTCCCATGTTTCAGTTCTCTCTGTCCCATATTCATTAGAACTGTTGGCTCAGGCAGCTGTTGTTCCTGGTCACAATATTGAATGAGATCTAGAAAAATTCTTTCCTCTTAGCGTAGTCCAGCCCAGCTGTGACAACATTGGACCCTTTCAAAATTGGCTCATATTAGTAAACTGGGTAAACAAGTACAAAAGCATATAAATGGATGAGTTGATGCAACACAGATTTTTAAATTCTCACTTAACTGTAGCCTGGCCTATATCCACAGGAGCTTTCAAGACACCTAACACCAGCTTCTTTGCCTTGCTTTCATCCTGTTTGGGGTAATAAAAAAAGGGTGATACTGATGTTCTCAAGATTTCTGGTCTAACAAGAAATCAGTTCTCTCTATTGTTACTCTTAAGCATGAGCTCTGTCTGACCACGCATCCTGCTGTAGTCACCTCTGTTCTCCAGCCACCTTTGGTACTTTTGGCCTGTTAGACCTCACAGGGCATGTCATCTAATATGACAAAAAAGCACTAGGCTGAGAGGAAGGAACCAGGGGACTCATGGGGGTCCCTCCTTGTGACACTTGCAAGTCGCTTTGCTTCTCTGGTCTCAGTTTCCTCATCTAGGAAGTAAGTGGGTTAAGCTGGACCCACTCATATTTTCTCAGCCTCTGTCTAGAAGTCTCTGGGAGTAGTCAGAGATCCCTGAGGGCCAGAGCCTAACAAGTCTCTAATGGCTGAAGCCAAAGAGCCTAAGAAGGCCCTGAGATAGTAAGGAAAGGGTCCTCTTTAACACATAAGAGACGACTGGGTTGGACGTGGGACACAGAAATGCAGAGACCCTACTTCTCCAAATACCCACGGTGCTGAAAACAAACTCATTTGGGGCCAAGAGATGCAAATACCAGGGACAAGCAAGGTAATAACCTCCAAGAATTGAGACCTAGAGAAAATGCAAAACTACCACAGGATTGACAGATGATGCCCAGATGGGACTCTTCTCTGTTGGAATGTAAACTTCATTCTAATAGGCAGGACTTTTGTTCCATTTCATGATGGATTCCACACATAGGTACCTTATACATGCTTGTCAAATGACAAATGAATAAACTTGTGATAAGCTAAATGAGCAATGTGAGATTATCTGACTTATCTAATTGCATTCACTCTAAAATCACCCTGCTGATCTCTGCGTAGTTGTGGTGTATTTAGAATCACTAGCTTAAGCTACTATCCATGTAGCCACTAAATGTGTAGCCTTCTACCACTTGCATTGACCCTTGCCTGTGGAATGGTGGGCCTGACATTTATGACTATGCTCATTATCTGTTAATCAACATCTTGCGTATACTCATGCTGTAACACAATTCAGTCAGTAAGCTGAAATGGTCGCCAATATCACATTGACCTTTGGAGATATTGATTGTACAGAACTAAGGGTGTGTTGACATGTGAGTGGATGTGTAAGTAACAAATAGCAAACCATGAAGAAAAGGAGAAAAAGAGAGGAAAGCCACCCTATCTTTGTGCCTCTGCTGCTCTGATAATCAGGAATGTGCTTGGAACAGTTTAAAAATACTCTGTGTTCTACTATGAAAACAGAGTACATAAAATGATTTTATTAACAGTTTATGTGTAATAACTGCAGTCGGGTCTTTTTGAACACAAGAAAAGCCTGACACAAATATGGAACAAACCAAATACGGTAATGGGGTTAGAAAGAAACTGGCAGCTCCTGCAAAACCTGCATGGGGCCAATTCCAAAGCTCTGAACAGTTACTGAGCTCTACACCCTGAGGCTGTGCTGCCTTTTCAGCCCTCTCCTTCAGACAGGTTCAGGCTTCTCTCCATTTGGTTTATCTGCTCTTTAGAATTCAATTCCATAACCTGATGATTCACCTCTTTTGCTTAATTCCTACATTAGTAGTTTTTTTTTTTTTTTTTCCGTTTCTACCAGCCTCTGTTCTGTCTGTGTCTTATGAAACGTTTCCTCGTGGTATGTCTGTACTGTGAGGCATATATGCCAGGACACTGGACATGTTGGTGAGCCCTGTGCATTCTTCCCAAGAGGCATGTAGGTTTCCATAGTTTGGGTTACGTAGGATCTATGTCCTCCAAGCAGTGTGTAACTGAGGAAACAGTTAAAGCAGGCAAACATTGGATGATGTGTAAATAAGTAAATAAATGGACTAGGACAATGGAAGTTATAAGGAATAAAATTTAAAATACATTATTTACAAGGAAAGAAGATTACTTGTTTTTAGGCCAGGCACAGTGTCTCATGCCTGTAATCCTACCACTTTGGGAGACTGAGGTGGGTGGATTGTCTGAGCATGGGAGTTCGAGACCAGCCTGGGCAACATGGCAAAACCCCATCTCTACTAAAAATAATAATTAAAAAAAAATTAACTGGGCATGGTGGCGTGCACCTGTAGTCCCAGCTACTCAGGAGGCTGAGTCAGGAGAATTGCTTGAATGAAAGGCAGAGGTTGCAGTGAGCTGAGACTGAGCCACTGCACTCCAGCCTGGGTGACCAAGTGAGACTTTTCTCTCTCAAAAAAAAAAAAAATTAGTTGTTTTTAGTAGTGAGAGTAAAAAGGTCTGGTAGATGGATGGATTTATGACTTGTTAATTCCCTCATCCAATGATAACTAAATCAATGTGCTATGCGGGACATTGTAAGATAGAAGATGGTTAAAACATAATTCCTACTCTCAAAGGTTAGACTTTGGCCAGGCGTGGTGACTCATATCTGTAATCCCAGTTCTTTGGGAGGCCAAGGTGAGAGAATTGTTTGAGCTTAGGAGTTCGACACCAGCCTGGGCAACCTAGTGAAACCCTGTTTCTACAAAAAATTAAAATAAAAAAATAAAATTATATAGACATGATGGCATATACCTGTAGTCCCAGCTATTCATAACACTGAGGCAGACGATTGCTTGAGCCCAGGATACCGAGGCTGCAGTGAGCCATGGTCATGCTATTGTACTCCAACCTGAGTAACAGAGTAAAACTCTGTCTCAAAAAAAAAAAAATTATAATTTGTAGAAGAGATATGATGTATGTGCTCATACTAGGTAAAAAGTGTTATTAACAAAGGAGGCACACAAAGTTAAGCTGGGGAAGCAATGATTTTTGGCTAGGGAGGAGGTGGGAGCATTTCAATTGGGCTTAAAGCATGAGCAGGATGGGTGGGATTTCACATAATGAAGGTTTTGCCAGGTCACTGCTGCCTTGATGTAAAAATAAGTCGCATTAGATGAAAAAGCAACATTTTTCTGGCTTTGGCCAATATTTTCCATCGTAGCATTCTCAGAATCTTACAAAATCTGCTCTCACCAGTATGTTTTTGGCAGTTGCCAGGCAGTAGTTCTTAACCTTTTGAGGATTACATTATCTTTTAAGAATCTGACAAAATCTATAGAACCTCTTCCCAGAAATACAAACATATAGCCAGTAAGTGGCATGCAGTTTTCAGGAGTTCATGGACCCCCTACAGCCTATTCTTGAACTCCCAGTGGTCCATGGTTCCTAGTTTAAGCATCCTGATGCAGACAGTACCTGAAGTACTGAAGCTATTGGTGTTCACAACAATGTAACAGGGTCCCACTGCCGGTGGGTTGGGAACTCTTACTACTCACAGAAGCCACATTGTTTTCTCTGAGCTCTCAGTGCCTCTAGCGCAGACTGATCTGCGTAACTCTTTGGGCCAATTTTGGTGCTAAAGCAGGGTTCCTCACTAGAGTGTCTCCACATGTACACACACAATCAGAACGAGGAGTGTAGTTGTGCAGAGTACACACATTTTTTAATGTTTTCCTGGTGATTCTGATACCTGTGATGTGTCCCCCTACACCTACTCTCTTACGATGTATTTTCTATGGGACTCTTCCATCCCTCACGCTGAGATACTCCCGGCAAGCCCATCAGACATGCCCAGACCAATCTGTATCCTGGCTCGGAGCCCAGCTTTGGCTCAGGCTAGAACATCTCTCCCACTCCCCTTCCGTGCTGTATTAACATTGAAACTGGATGGCAAAATAAGGTCACAAACAAGGAAACTCTAGAAAAAAAGGTGGTTTGTAAGTGTTAAAGAAAATATTTCTATAGCACAGCTGCATTGAACAGGGCTAGGCTGCAGCCTTTTGGAATTAGAGATGTGATCTGGGCTTGCTGACTGAATGTTGAGTTGTTCTGATTTGTAGTTTTAGAATTAGACCAAG